AAGAGATGCTTGTCAAGCTTTCCTCTTAGTTATGTGAGGAAAAATAGATGGTTATATGTTAATTAGAAATTAATTAAGATGCAAATTACATTGATTTAGAGAGAGATGTGCATGTATGTGCACACATGCAATTTTTTGGGAAAGGATCTTTCAAAATATCTCATTAAAGCTTGAGAGTAAAAGTAAAAAAGCTATTTTTCTTGCTGTTTTTTTTCAAGGTTGGTTACTGAAAACAAAATAACAGGCTGGCTAAAATTTAGCTCAGGAAAACAGTTGTATTCCAGTGTGTTTTGGGCTGTTTGCTTTTAAAAACCTGAGGCATAGAACTATGCTGAGACTACTTTTTGTACTGTTGCTTTTGAAGTTCATCCTGGATCAAGAACTGCTTTACTTTAGTTTTATCTCTATTTGGAACATATTTTAGGACAATATTTGCAGTTTTTGAATTATGATGTTAAAAACAACAATAACAACAACAACAAAGCGGGTTTGGTTTGGTGGGTTTTTTTTTTTTGGTGTGTGGGTTTTTTTGGTGGTGTGTTTGTTTTTTTTTTTTCTTTTCTTTTTGTCAAACAAAACTGAAATCTAATATTAGATAGGTGATTAGACAGGTGATTTTATTGATGGTTATTAGAAAGCGTCCTGAGCATCTCTGGATGCCATAGGCTGACTTTTGGCCGTGAAGCTGATTGCTGCCGAGGGGCCGAAATGAGATTTGCTGCTGGGGGCTGCAGGAGTGATTGGCCTCAGCAGGTGCCTGATCACGAAATGTCTCTCCTGCTTGCTTCCCTCTCTGCCTCCAAATGAGCTTCCCAGAGTAGAGAGTCCCGGAACTAAGGAGGAGGAAATGTTTCTGGTTTGGCAATTTTGTAGCTTTAAAGTCTGCTGTCTAACATCAAAAACAGTTCCCCCCTTTTTTGTGGCTGTAATTCGTACTTTGTTTTAAAAAACTTGCCTCATACTGTAAATACAGAATTAAAACAGATCCATCAAGGATTTGAAGAATATTTGTGGTGCTTAGAAGTTAGTTTGATTCATAGGTAGCCAGTTGTATAATTTTAATGCTGTACTCTTCTGCACATACATCTTGTTGCATTGATTCCGTTTGTTTGCATGTGTACATTTAATAAAGCTAAGTGTTAAGGATACGCTTTTTTCCTGCTAGGAATTAAGCATTGGTTGTGTTTTGGCTTTTGCCCATCAGTTTACTAGTCTTTTGATGTTTAAGCATACTGTAGTTCACAGGTGATTGATGCCAGATAATTTTATTAAGCTGAGGTTAAATTTGCCATTTAAGAACAAAATCATTCATACAGGACAAAAAAAGCAGTACAAAAGTAGTAATGATTTATAAATACCATTTCAAAATTTCCTATATATTAGCACCTACGTCTTTTTATTTCTGCATCTATTAGATTTTTCAAAATGTAGGTGAAAAAAAAGAAATGGAGTTAGTTTCCATTGTGACAAGGAATATGGGGAACCTTTCTTTTAGTTTTGGTTTGAATATGTACACAGTTTTGCATATGTAATCCCCAGTATGTATATGAATTTATTGTTTGTAATGGACAGTTACAGAGTCTAAGAAGCATCAAAACCGAGGCTCCTGAGGTATAAATATGTCTGCAGTCTGGAAAAGATCCTTCATTATTTCAAATGTTCTAATTCCTCCTGCTGTGTTCAGCGTAGATGTTTTTGTTTATTTTTATATACCTATTCTCGTGACTATATTCCTCTTGCATCTGTGGTAAAACTCTGCCCTTGTAGCTTCAGTCCCCCTTCATTATAGGAGCTTGACAAGCAAAGGATGCTGGTGGTACTCTCAGGGAAGACTCGTGCTCTGGCTGAGACTTCCTAGAAGCATCAACCTCACCTCTCTTGATTAGTCAGATCTCCTATCTGAAATCAGTAGGTGTTACTTAGAAGTCTTATCCACTGTATCTCGATAAGGAGATTACTGCTCTGGCATCCCTCTGCGTGTGGAGTTCTTCACGTTCTTGTCCAGTAGTTGGTTTGTTGGGATGTGTCTGTGACAGCCTCACCTATAAGGCAGATTCAGTCCCCTGCCTGCACGGTAGGTCTCGTGGGCATAGCCAGGGGCTCATCACGCTTCTTGGGACCTGTCTGCTTTTTTTCTCGTCTCCAGAGTGTGCTCTCCAGACATATTTTTAAGGGTTTTTGAACCCGGAGTTTTGCTTAAACGATTTTACAGCTGTCTCCCATGTGAGCTTGCAAAGATTTTCAACCCCAGGAGACAACAGTTTAAGAGTGACCCCTTGAAAGTCAAGTGATTAGTTGTGGGTGGTTGTGTTGGCCACCAGAATCAAACAATAAGTTTGGTTTTGTTTTTTTATTTTTTATTTTAATTTGTTTTATTTTACACTTCTGTAGATGGTAAGACCCTCCGCCCCTCCATGAAAATGGTTACCCTGAAGCCTGCTTTTGAAGTCTTACTGCTGAATGTGCATAGGTTGCTTTTTTCTTTTTTCATCACAAATCACGTGTGAGCATCATGCGCATTTGCGTATGTTCGAAGAAAGTTAAATTTTATTCACTTGGAGAATCCAATCACAAAGCACAGCGATCCATTTGACCTTTAGCTTTTAGCGCCTGTACGTTCCTTTTCCTTTTCCAGACCTTGCTGACAAATGTCAGCATGCTACGTGTCGGTTTAGGGATCTGTTTATGGCAGGTTCCACTCCTCACCCAGAGGTTTGAGGAGCTTCTCTATAAATAGCTGTGTTGGTCATAGCTTTCTATATGCTTGTGGGGTTCCCTGATCTGTGTTTTATAGTAACTGGGTCTCTTAGCTCAGAATTTGGGTATGAACAGCAAATTTTGGAGGAATTTTGGCTTTGTTGTTGAAGTCTTTTGTAAAAGGATGCACTATACAAGCTGAAATTCTTAGGAATTTAGGAAGTCAAAAAGTTTTTTCTGATATTAGAGCATCTCCTTTGTCTTCTACTTTTCTTCCTTGCGTGGGACTTAGTCTGCTTTCACTTGTTAGCAGCCTTTGGTTTCAACTCTGGGTAAAATTGCTATGTTGACCCGTAATGCTTGAGGGACTGACCACTGTTTTGAATCTGAAGAGATGACAAGTCTTCCTGCATCTCAGGCTTCCTGTTTCAGCAGAATAATGTATTTCTTAGCATAGGATTAACACCAAATGGAAGGATTTTTCTGGTTTTGTTTGAATTTTTGGCTATTGTGTTTAGTTGCTGAAGATTGCTACTGCAAATGTCTGTGGGACATAGACTGATGTTGAAAAATGCCAGCTGTGATCCACTGAATGTGAAATTTCCTGCTTTCAGTCTATATGTTGTCAAATGATACATTTTTGGAGTGTTGAATTTGCATTTGTCTTGCAGCATTAGGCAACACGTTTTCAACAGTTAAACTATTTGTTTCCAGATGCTGTCCAATACACGTGTCACAACTGTTAGGTATTATGGTCCCTGAGATTTTAGGAAAGCCTTAACCCCATCAGGTAGGCTGACAGGACACTTTTCACAGGTTTACTGACAAGTGACTGTTCATACACAAATGCAAAGACTGAGTCCCTAGTATTTCATGTGTTACTACCCCTTTGCCATAGACAGTTTTGAAGACCTAGCCTCATTTCTGTTGGAGAAGTGAATGGTGTGGAGACTGGTGACTGTACTTCGTGGTTGGTCATTGTCAAAAGAAACCACAAGGAACCAAAATGTCTTGGTCCCTACTGAATGAACTGAAACAGGGGCAGTTAAAAAACAACGGAGGTTAAAGTCTTCCTTCCGCCTGTCTTTGAGAAGTCACTTGCTGGAGCGCAACTGTGGGCCAAGGTGAGCTCCGCTTTTGGCAATAAAGATGAAATAATACTGCTGTTTGCAGCATCTCCCTAAAAACGTAGCAATTTCTTCAAGGAAAAGACTCATGTTTGCAGGCAAAGGAAAGATTTGTGAGGTTTTCTGTGCACAGCAGAAGCAGCTACAACTTCTCTGCTGTAAGGTAGGAAATATATCTGGAAACAAAGACAGAATTTGCACCATCCAGGACTGCTCTTTGCAGCCAGCTATAAAATGATCAGCAGATTGAGGACAAGGGATATAAAGCAGCGCGTAGATCTTACCATGTGTTGCTTTATTTCTGTTTCTGTTCTTGGGAATGAAGCTAGTTGAAATTGAGTGGCATTAGATGAAAAGATTAATTTATTGTTCAATCAGGGTCAATAATGTGAACTTTACAAAGGTTTCTGTCGCAAGACTGTTTCGTTCAAGTGCACCAAAGGCAGTTGAGCTGAACTTCGGAAGTGACCTTGATCAAAGAGGCAGACTGCTCAAGAGGCTTTTCTTATTCTGGTCTGAATATACTGTGGGTTGCTAGGGGCTATGGACCTACTGAGAGAAAGGCAAAACAAAGTCCTGTAACCAGTCTGTCTGTGATGTTGAACTTGTGACTTTCTAGTAGTTGCAGCTGGGGAAAAGTCAGCTTCACTATTAATGAAGTCTTCCACGCACGTGACCAGTCATTGACAAATACATAAACTTTGAAGAGATTGTTTAGATGGAAAATCTAGAATGGAAAAAGCTGGTTTACAGCCTTCCTCTCTTCTCTTGTGAGAAAAATTTCATATATGGAGAGAGAAGAGGCTGGAACTTGGCATCCAGGAAACTGTGTGCACCTATCCCTGCTTGTGTCTTTTGGTGTATGTGCACAGCTTCCAGCCAGTAAAGTAGAAGTGGAGTTTGATTTTGAAAAATGGGTAATACTGTGCAATACTTTTGCTGTCGTTCAAGTGAAATAAGAACAAGAACCTATAAATATTGCTTCACCAGAAGGAAAGATAGTGCAGTAACTTTCACAGGGACATACTCACAAAGGAGAAAAGATGTGGGTGTTGGGTGGTTTTTTTTTTTCTTCCTATGAAACAGCACTGCGAATATGATATTGTGGTCCTGTGTTCAGAGAATATAAACATAAACCATCGAAGTTTCTCATTTACCATTCTTGTGATATTTCAGCTTAACGACAGTGGCAAGGCAGCCCAAGCACATGTGGGGATAGGCGACGTGGTTCTCACCATTGATGGGATAAGCACAGACGGGATGACTCACCTAGAAGCACAAAACAAGATCAAGGCCTGTACAGGCAATTTGAACATGACTCTGCAAAGGTAAGATACCTTTCTTTAAAAAAAAAAGAGAATTAATCATCATCGTAACAGTTGTTTGGAGGATAAAAACATGTAAGTGGTTTGGCAAAGTGCATGGAGTTAAGCGGCCACGATTGAAAGATATGCTGCTGTAGTCTGAAATGTGTCTTGATTTATAGCATTTTAGAAACTTATTAGATGTTAATTGTGTGAGTTGACGAAGACCTTTTCCAACCTTCTGTCACCTGCTCTACATTGAATGAAGTCTAGTTCCTTCTTCCTTTTGAGCTTCAGTTTTCTTAACACTTGTTTAATTAAAAACAGGTCTTATCCAGACTTTTTTTCCCTACTCCTTCACTGACTGGCTAGGGGCACTTCTCTTTTGGGTCTAGTCCTACATCGTTATTTTTATCGGCAAACAGAACAATGGATTTAAACAGTTAACTCCTGAGTTAGATGGATGAAAATACTGCATCTCAGTCAGAGAGAGGTTTCCCAAAGCGATACTACTATTTCACAAAGTAGCAGCCTCCACTTGCTAATTGTGGCATCTACTATAGAAGTTACAGTTTGGTCCAGTCTCATTCCTGAAACGTACAGTTTATTGAATCTCAGCATACCTCTGTTAGCCTGGGACTGTGTTTTGGGAGGGGTTGGAAGAGGGGAGCGGGATGCTCACGTGCGGGTTATTGGAACTGAAGCAGGAAGAGCAGCAGCACAAGCAAAAATTTCCTTCCAGCTCTCAAAAGTCTCCCAGGGCTAAATATTGGCTTTTATCAGAAGACTGCTATTTTTATTTAATTATGTGAGCGAGCATCTTGGAGGGGGATTGGCCTCTGAAACCATCACATAATGAGAACCATCTTTTCTTGTTATCAAAGAAAACAACAGCAGTTGCGCCCCCTGATTGCTGTTCGTGCCCGCCTTCAGCAGTGCAAAGTTCCTTGATGAGTGTTGATTGAAGCCCATAACAGTATCTCTTCACCAGTTACTACCTTTTCTGGCAACTTACCCTTCCCTTAACGAAAGGACCAGCTCTCTCTGAGAGTTCATCAGCATAAGAATAAAAGAGATGACATGGTCGTAGGTCTGACAAATGTCAGTCTCTCCAGGGTGGTAGTGCTTGTTCCCAGCCCTTAGTGACATGTAGTTGAACGGTTGTGCAAGTGCTTTCTTTTCTAAGAGGCTATAGTTCAGCACTGCTTATTGTTTCTTGTTTTTCCTGTTGTCCTTCTGTACTTTGGTCCTTAGCTACACTTAATAAGGGATTCCCTTTGCTCAGTCTCTGAGGAAAGGAGTATCTTGTGGTGTGGTTCATGCCTAGGGCGTCTTCTCGAGTGAAACTTGTAAAGGTGGCATTAAAAGTGTCTTGATGAAACAGAGATATTATACCAGCTCATCAGAAGAATCACGCATTGTACCTAGCGTGTCTCTTGCTTTTCTGTCTCCTAACAGGCAGGCAGGTCATTTAGAAATGCATTTTCCAGGAGCCCACTGAGTCACTCCAGCAGGCAGCTGGGAGTGTGGGGGTTTGGCCCACTTTCTCCCATCACCATAAACTGATGGGCAGGGTTCATATCAGATACAGGAAAGGAGTAGCAGGTGTGTCAGTCAGGCAATAACTTGTCTGAGGCTGCTTCTGGTTGGGTGCAGGGATGAGTGGTTTGAAAATCGAATTAATCATAAGTTAGCCCGTTCCCCTCCTGTTCTCACCCATCCTACCCAGTGTAGCATCTGACTCACCAGCGTCGGCTACCTGACAGCTGAAGGCTAAGTCAGGATCAGACTAGCAGAGATCAAAGGAATAGCCTTGGTCCCAGCATCTGGAGGTGGGACAGATGTCCTTTCTTGCAGCTCTGCTGGTCTGCAGTCCCATGGTCTCAGCTGTTTTGAATTCTGCCCGGATCCCATGTAAACCAAAGCTGTAGACAGTGCTCTCCCGGCTCCTCTGCCTGTGAAAACTTCCTTGCTGTGATTGCTGTTTAGCAGGAGATTTGCTTCGGTTGTTTGTTTATTCTTTATAGCCTGGAAGAAAGTGCTTGTTGGGGTCAGACTAGCTCACACTAACTGCAGATGCTGGCTGCCCATGGGAAGGACGGATTGAGAGCATAAACAGGGTGACAAGATAAGCCATTTTAATATTGAGGGATTTCCATAATTACATTCTTCTGTTCCTCCCTCTATTCCCAAAACAAAACCAAACTAAATAAAATATTTTGAGATGTTATTGTTCACATGCAAGATTAAAGAGGTGCTCTCAATGTGAAACAATGTTGGCCTTCAAAATATGAGTTGGTGCCATAGATAGGTCTTAGATTTTCCTATCTTATTTTGGTTTTACTGCTTTTAATTATCTTTAAGGGTTTCTACACTTCTCTGAGCTTTTATCTACTTCCACACAGACTACTGGTAGTTTGAACTACAATGCAAGAATGTTGAAGTTAGTCTTGAAAGCATATATAAATTCTTAAGGTACTGCCCTAGTTTGCTACTGCTTTAAAGGGACACAGTGATCAGTTGGTTAGTGGTGTTACTTTGAGGTCCAAGAAAATTGGAAGAGTATTATGGCTTGAGTTAATGGCTTTTGCACTGTGAGCATGTCCACGTAGTGTTTTCTGAAAGATGTGAAAGAACTCAGTTTGGTCAAATTAGTTGTAGGAACCAGAATACATTTTGTGAGTTCAATTTGATACATTTTTGGTGGTAGCACCGAGGGACCTTTATTAACGATAAACTATAAGAAGTACTGTGCACTCATCTGTGGATCCCTGCTTTGCTCTTGATCGGTTACAATTTGACATAGATTCATGTAGAATATGTGAAAATTAATATAGTCGTGCAGACTTAAGTGTAATGTGAAGATAATGGCAATATGGGGAAAAATTGCTGGGTATACCACCAGCTGCATGGCATGTCAGAGATGGGGCTGGCTGTGCTGTTTTGCTAGGGAGGGACTAATCAAAATAATCAGTAGTTACTTGAAAAAGAAACAAGATCTTGCTCTGGCTTTTTAGGGGCTTTTTTGTGTGTGTTGTGAGGATCAGAGTGCTAGTTTGTAGAAAAGCAGTGGTACACCCTAGGGGTTAGTAGGCCGGTGAACCCCAGTGGGTCCCATCTGAGGCTGATGGGCTCCAGCACCCCCGTTTGCACGGTGGCTGGGGCATGGTGACAGCTTGCATTTTAAAAGCTACAAAGGAAACTTTGTGAGTCTATGTGTCAAAGCTGGCAAAATATTTGAAGGGAGAATAAAAGCTCCTCTTTTTCCTGTGTAAGGAAGATTGCAATTTGTTTTTTTTAATATGGAGTTGTTCTCTGCCCCTGAAAGGAACTGGAATTGCAGCTGTCGCAATTGCAAGTCCACTTTGCTTGGAGATTTCTGAAATAGATAAAATTGTGCTTGCCAGCCATGTACAGTAGTAGGTGCCTAACACTTGTATGTGTTGGCAAGTATTTTCAGGTATGTGTCTTTAAAGTTAATTAGTTCTGTAAATAAGTCTTGCTGTTTAGTATGAAGGTTATTTTTTAAAAAATTTTGAGATAAAATTCTAATTTTGGCATATTTGCTCACTTTTCATATTAGATATGGCTCAAAAAGACAGGGTATGTTTTTCTTTTTTCTTTTTCATTTTGTAACCTGTGATTTTAGCTTTTTGATAGTTTGGTGGTTTGGGGTTTTTTTTGGTTTTTTTTTCCCCCTCATTGGGAATTTTTCTTTGTATACATCCCTCCCTCCCTGAGATCTTGCTCTTTTGCACCCCAATATTTTATTTTCAGTTAAAGCACTTTCCTGGTTCCCATGAGGACAGATGGAAACCAGATGCTTGCTTCTTGGATATATTTTTCAAGTTCAGTAACTTAGCGTGGACTTCCATAAATAAATCTGTAAGTTGCTAAACAGCTAAGAGCCACAACCTTTTTTTAAATATTATTTTTGGGGACTGTTTCTCCAGGCTCCTGCCTTAATGATTCTTTGGAATCACTGTGGATCCCAAGAGCCAGCCTTACTCACTGTTACAGGGGGATCTGAAGTCCTAAAGTTTAAAAGTTTAAATTGTCTCCATAGAAAGGTGAGAAAACAGTATAACCACTAAATCAAATGGCAGGAGAGGCTATTATAAAAATATATTATAAAAATAAAAGAGGAGGAGCAAACAGAAGAATACAAGTATAGAAAGGATTTCAAACTATTAGCAATACAAGCTTCACTTTAGATGATGGTTAAAATGCATGCTTTCAGGTTTATGAGTCATGGGTTCCTTGGGGTGGATATTTTGTTTCCATAAACCATATAAGGATGAGCTTTAAGCAAGCTATGATAAGAATGCATTCGGAAGTCTTATTTTTCTCCAACTTTGGTTTACTAGTCATCATCATTTCCCTTACATAGGCATTTTGACTAGTTTTGTTCTTCAGTGATTTGCTTTTTTAGCATATAGAAGAAGGTTGATTGTCTTGTGCCAGTTGAACAGAGGCAATAAATTGGTTGAAAGGATCAGGACTTCTGAGTAATATTTTCTAAATCTGAAAACAATTTTTTGCTGGAATTCTTTTTACTGTGATATTAATTCTTGCATAACTTCTTTAGGATATCAAAACTGAGTGTTAGATGGTTAAGGAAATAAGCACCATTATCCCTTTTTGATTGAGAGAGTTGAGATACAGAAAAATTATGGCTAGGAATACATAAACAAACTGTATACTTATAGTTTAGCTGCTAGTCAAAACCTTAGGCAATTTATTCCTCAATGCTGGATTGTTCCCCTCAATTGTTAACATTAGTTTTCAATAATTACATCTGAAAATAAACTGGCTGAAAAATTGTGCCTCCCAAACAGAAGTTCACTTCTGTTATTTAGCCATGCCACTAAGTTATTCCAGGTAGCTCACTCAGTGAAGCCCTACATAGTCCTGCGAGACTTCAAATATTCCT